CATTCCACCTTGGGGCCCAGGTCACTGCCCTCCAGCTGGGAAGCACGATGCAGACCCCCTCTGTTTAGGACTCATAGATTTCTCCTCTCCACTCTTCTCTGCTCCCTCTGAGGCCTGGCCTTCTGGAAACAATAGTCTGGAACTGAAATGCTTGGCAGGAATCGATTCTTTTTCTGCCTTGCCACACACTTTCTTTATCTTATCATAAGCCATAAGAGCATGCTAATGACACAACATTCTGTCTCATGAATTTTAGGTTTTGGTTATGGTAGCCTCCAACTTCTACATAAAAACTTATGTCTCAGTTATATATTTTTGTGTGACAAACCATCCCAGAACATAGTGGCTTAAAAAAATAACCATTTTTTCAGCTCGTGTTTCTGTGGGTCAGCAATTTGGGCTGGGCTTACTGAGGCAGTTCTGCTGGTTTTAGCTAGACTTAACTCATGCATCTGTGGTCAACTGCCAGTCATCTAGGAGACTCTGACTGTGTGGGTTGGGTGGCTGTCAGTTGGAGCAATGGGGACTCTGGGCCTGTGAGTCTTATTGTCCAGCAGGCTAGCCCGACTGTTTCACACGTGGGGATGGCAGGGGCTCAAAGGGCAGCAAGAAAAGGAAAATCCCAATATATAAACACTTTTCAAATCTCTGCTTGTGTTATGTTTGCTGTTGTTTCGTTGCCCAAAGCGAATCACATGGCCAAGCTCCGAGTCACCGTAGAAGAAGAGTTAATGCCAAAGTTGTGGGTATAGGTAGGTATGGAGAAAATCTACCAAGGGCTCCTTCCTGATCCTCACCCCCTCCTTCTGATAGGGGCTGAAACACTTATTCTCCCTTGACATGGCCCTGCAACTTCCTGGGGTTAGATGTCATGGTTTGAAGCTCAAAGTGGGAGCGTAGGACGGAAAGTACCCACACTCAAGGCTAGGGGAAAATCAGACTAGGGGCTGCGAGCTCCCTGCTCCCTTCCCTGTTGAAGCCATTGGTCCAACAACTATGAGTACAATCATTTAACTTTATTAGAAACTGCCATGCAGTTTTACAAAGTGGTTTTTACCATTTTAACTCCTCCCAGCAATGTATACTCGGCATT